GCCGAGACCCGGGAGCGCACACACGTGTCGGCGGCGCCCGCGTCCACCTGCAGCGCCGCCCGGCCCGGCCCGGCCCCAGCGCAGTGTGCAGCCTCCTGCGGGGTTTATACGCACACATGTGTATTATTCGCATGGGTATACACATATATGTGTGTGTGTGTATATACATATATGTGTGTATGTGTGTGTGTATATGCATGTATATATGTGCGTGTGTGTATATATGTGTGTATCTATCTCTACGTGTGTGTATAGCTATATGTGTGCGCGCGCGTGTATATCTATGCGTGTGTGTGTATGGGTGTGTATATTTATATATATGTATTTTATCTCTATATGTGTGTGTATGCGCGTGTATATAGATCTGAGTGTATATCTATATATGTGTGCATGTATATCTGTATGTGTGTGTGTTTATCTATGTGCGTGTATATCGATATATATGTGAATGTATATCTATATATCTATATACGTGTGTATATATGTGTGTATGTATGTACACATACATATCTGTATATATGTATATGTGTATATGTATGAATATATGTGTACACACATACACACACACGTTTTTGCACATACACGATATACTCAGTGCGCCTCTGCATGGGTATATACGCATCTATATGTGTTCATATGCAGACTGACAGACCGCGAGCGTGCACCGTCCTCCCGCACTATGAAGGATCTCCTCCCGCTCCAACATTTCGATCTCTTCCTCTTCTCCAATTATTTTTTCCCCAACGAAAAAACCACAAGAAAGGATCCTAAGCTCCAGGCAGGATGAGTGCGAGTGTTTGGAGAGAAAAAAAAGACAAAAGAATTCTTGAGCGTGTGACTCCCAAATTCTCTCTCTCAATTTTAAACTGCAGAGAAAACAACATGCTTAAAAAGCACACGAGAAATGGGGTGGGTTTTTTTCATGTCTAGAGGAGCGGTCCGCCCCGCTTTCATATCACTGTTCGTACCAGTCAAAAAACTATCCTTCCCTTTTCACCAGATCTGCTCCTCGGGTTTGCTGAGTTAGGATGTCCCCCCTCACACTCCGAGGCGAAGGAACTTGGTCTTATGTGTACACCCCTCGTTTCATTCCCTGCAAAAAGGGATAAATGCAGATCGCAGCCGGCGTGGGGGGGGTATAGCCCCTAAGCAGGAAAGTTACAGTCGGGGTGTGTGTGTGTGTGTGTGTGTGCGCGCGCGCGTGTGCCAGAATGATACACAAAATTTAAAAAAAAACAAAAAACTAGCCCCTAAAAGGAAAGTAATAGCTCGTGTGTGTATGTGTGCGCCAGAATGATACACAAAAATAAATGAGAGAAGCTAATTGCTGGGCGGTTGTGGGGGGAGGTCGGGTCAGACACTCCGGGCTCGAACTGGACAGTGAAGCTGAGACTGTTTTGAAGGAATCAAATATTCCTCCCGACCCGTTTCAGGGCCAGCCCCGAGCTGAGGAGCCGGCCCCGCACGTGCTCTGTGAACCCGGCTAAGGATCGTGCCCGAGTGAACCCGGGCCCGACTCCCGGTGCAGGCGAACCCCGGCTCCTTGCCGCTGCGGGGACACGGGTTTTCCCCGGGGAAAGTCTCCTGCAAATCCAGCGATCGCGATCCCCCGGGATCCATGCAGCAGCCCTCCAGCCAGCCCCGCGCCGCGGGGACCTGCAGGCGGGGAGGCTGGGGAGTGGGGCTCTTGGAGCAACTCCTGCCCTGTGTTTCCTCGGTCGCAGGGAGAGCGGTGAACCCCAAATCGGTGTGCGAGGGCTGCCAGAGGGTCATCTCGGACCGGTTCCTGCTGAGACTCAATGACAGCCTGTGGCACGAGCAATGCGTGCAGTGCGCCTCTTGCAAAGAACCGCTGGAGACCACCTGCTTCTACCGGGACAAGAAACTCTACTGCAAGCTCGACTACGAGAAGTAAGTGCGCTCGCCCTGCCCCGGGCGGGGCCGGGCCGGGGAGGGCCGGGCGACGGCTGGCCGTACCCGCCTTTGCCATCCCTCCCGTGCGCGAGCGTTTCTGACTGCGCTGGAAAAATGAAGCCCCCCCCGCTTGATATTCATCCGGGAGGTTTCTTCGGCATGCATCTCAGCGTGAACATGCTGTAGCCGGGTGGGCGGCGATGGGGGGCCGACCGAGGACTGGAAAGTGCAAATCGGGGTCCTCGCTTTTCATTTTAAGTCGCCCGCAAGCCCCAGCCCCCAGGGCCACCACGCACACCAGCCCAAACCCACTGCCCGCCGCAGGCAGGATGAGAGCGAGCATCTCGACTGCAGCGGGTTAGCCTTGGTTTGCTGCCTTTTCTTCTCCCCCTCTCCCCTAGAAACAAATCCCGTAGTTTGGTCTGTGCCACCGGGTTTGGGACATCTCGGTGTAGCTGTTTCTACTCAACTAATAACATCATTGAAATGTCTGTCTTGTTACTTTGGAGGCTGCTGTGGGCTGTAGGCTTTTTGCCTTTCCTATTTCTCTGCTTTACAAAGGTTTTAGACAATGGGCAAATCTGGTTGAAGTCTCCTTTGGGAGTCGATGGAATGTAGACTCTGAGTTCCTAAATCACTTTAGAAAAGCCTCCAAGGTCACTTAGATGCCTTAAAAGTGTGGCTATTTGGTCTTACAGTGATACTGTCTTTACTGGACTCTTCATTGGATTCATTCATTTTTTTTTTTTAACAGCATAAAGAACTCTGTGCCTATAGCATTTCTGAGGTGAAGGAGTGGGAGGCTACTATACCTAAGTAGCTGGACAAAATAATATCTACTGTTTTATTAGGTGAGGGGGGAGCACAAAAGATCCCACCCACCCCGCCCTCCTTAAGTGATTTCAGGAAATGGGGATTCCGGCATTCTCATTTACAGACTGAGTTTCTATCTACAGAGCTTATGCTGCCTGCCTTACAGCAGTGCAGGTCCCGGTCTTTATCCTCTCCACACCCTGTAAGGCAGGGCAGTGTTGTTATCCCCATTGTACAGATGGGGAACAGAGGCAGGAGAAATTCACGGTGAAATCCTGGCAAACTCCCACTGAATTCAATGGGGTCATCATATTGCTCTAAGTGACTTGGCCAAGGTCACACAGGATGTCTGTATTAGAGCAGGAAATTGAACCCAGGTGTCCTGACTCCTAGGCTTACAGCCTAACCACTTCCTCTCTGTAGGGCTTGAAATGTGAGGAAGCTGTGGGGAGAGAGGGGTAGGAGAGATTCCTTGTTAAAACAGGCTATAGGGACTTGGTCCTGAGGTCTCTAACCAGGCACAACTTTAGATTGGGTAAGGACTCCAGGATGTGGCCTTTAGTATGTAGGAGGAGAGGAAAGGGAATGTCTTTTCTTATATTTCCACTCAAATCCTTGTGGAGATCAAGACCAAGCCATTGTATAGGCAGGTGGGGGGGAACTGGTTGTGGTTGTGAGTGGTCTAAGAGTACAAGGATCCTTCTCCCCTTCTCACAGCCTATATCAGGGGATGGGCACAGTCATAAAACAGGAACTGCTCCTGTCCTTTCCCAGATGTGTATGGCCCCACCCATTACTCCATACTGTATCACTGTGATGCAGGGCAGTGGCTCACATTTCATAGAGAAGTAAGGCTGGGAGGGACATCAAAAGATCATCTAGTCCAGCTAGGATTGCAACCTGTGACCTTGGTGTTAACATGCTAGGGGGGATTCTTGTACCCCGCCACAGTTCCCCCAATCTGGGGACAGCTTCTTACAATGGACAGTCACTACCTAAACAGCACAATTAAATCCACTAGTCTGCCCTTAAGCCTAGTGAAGTCAATGGAAAGACTCCTATCAGTTTCAAAGGGCTTTGGCTCAGGCCCTTGGTGATCAACAAAAATAGGATCTAGTCCAGCTTCCACTGGATCCAGCTATGCCCTTTAGGTTTTTATTCTAGTTCTGATTACCTTAGGCTTTGGAATTTATTTTAGTTTGTGTGTCTGACCCACACATGGGTACAGTGGTTTTGGTAACAGGGCATTCATTCATCATTCCAGCTTTTGTATAGAAGAATAATACAAGTATAATAATAGAAGAAGAAGAATACAAGTATGAAGAATAATACAAGTATGATAATATATATATTAATTAAGAAAATTGGATCCTATGGCCCCTGCTACACATTACAGATACTATGCAATTAATTGATTAGTTGCACAATAAACTAAGACTGGCCATAAGTGCAAAGTACTTATCACACAATTAACTAATTAATCCTTCAATAAATTTAGAACAGCCACACATGCAAAATAATTAACACATAATAAAGTTATAAAAGTTAGTGCTTAAAAATGTGTAACAACTCCTATAGTTGGTTTCTATCCAGCTTTAATTTGAACATGTAACAGGGTTCTAACTTATTGGAAAATGGACTATTTTGGTAAAGTTATTTTTTTCTGTCCCTTATGGTAATAAGCATATAAAAAGGTGAGTGTATTATAGTAAGGTGGCTTTTGTAATCTTTTAAATTCTATATGATGGATTATTAGTTTAAATGCATCAGATAAGAGCAAAGTTTAAAGGAGAATTTGTGTGAGTTAAAGCTTGGCAGTGTTTTCAAATGCTCAAGATACAATGGAAGAATGCTAGGACCTGAAATGGAGTGCAAAACTTCATGGAAAAATGGAAAATAACTTTTTATTCAAGAATTTGTATGTGTGCAGTGTGTTAATTCATTGATGAGAACATAGCTACTGTTTTTACTATTGAGATCAAAAGAAAGGTGGTGTGTGTCTTCTATTTTAGCAGATTATGCATTCAGAACACTTTTGTTGTTATAACTAAGGAAAAATATTAGATGTCACAATATAACAACCTTTCTGTGTTGCAATATTCTTGGTTCTAGAGGTTGTGCTATCTATCTATCTATCTACATATAGATATAGATATATATACACACACACACACTCTCGTGTGTGTGTATGTGTGTGTTTGTATATATATATATATATATATATATATATACACGCGCGCACACACACATACATTTCCATAGCGTCTGAATATTTAGATAGAAATAAGGCCCAATCCTGCACCCTTTGTTTTATTTGTATATTAGCCAGTGAGCCAGATCCTCAGCTGAGGCCAGTTGGTTAAGGTCTATTGAAGTGAACAGACCAATGTTGAATTACACCAGTGGAAGATCTAACTAACTGGGTCTATCTGTATGAGGAAGAACTACCTGCAAAAATAGCAAGTAAAATCTCAATTATATATGCAAGTAATGCAGTTCCCTGTGAACATACTTGCCAATTCCCATTATAAAACAGCTTTACTTTCTTTTTTTATTAAAAATAACAATGTGGAGAATATGAAATAGTTTTTACAGTTGTATTAAGGGCTTAGTCCTATATCACTTAACTTCATGGGAGTTTTACCATTGCATTAAGAGCCAGATCAGACCCTAAGAGTCCAGAGAAAACAGTGACATGCATAGGGTTTTTGCAACCTGATCACATATTCATGTGAGAGCATAGGCTATGTGGGGGGAAAACCTCCAGG